AGAGTGGAATCTGCATGGATAACCTATCTCGAAGAAGCATAATTACTATATGGTAAGTCTTCTGTGCCACATAATATGTATTGTGATACTGACTTAAGCTCTGTTAAGACTATTTTTAAATGACTGACTGATGAAGCAATACATGTGGTCCTTTAAAACAGGTATTTCGTGGCACGCTTGCAAGAATGGTTTTAACTGCATTTTTGCTGATCTTGATGATTGATACAGTACTTTAGTACTCATTACTTTAATTGTGAAATGAAAGACTGCCTACCAAGACCTGAGTTTAGCATTTTGGGTTTCTATTCTCCATGCAACAACTGATGATTTTAATAAATTAAGGCTTGATTTAAAGCCAGTTAAAGAGAGTGGTAGACTTTCCAAATCAACATGGAAATGACTTAAACCTGCTTTGTTTAAAAGAATCTGCGCTGTGACTCTAAGAATCCAGGAAGAGGGGTGCTAAGGTGATTTTAGGCCACCTTTGTCCCCTTCTGATGATGGGCTGCTTCAGAGGCCTGAGTAGCCCGTGGTGTAATTTAAGCAGCTCTAGAAGGCCTTTTGAGTTATGGCAGTATGTCATCAGCTGCCAATAGGCAGCAGTGCTTCCTGGAATCTGGTTCCACCAACTCCTGTAAGACTGACTATGCTGGTATTTGCAACAGGGTCTTCAGAAGACAGCCAGGTTCCATAGTTGGGGGGAATGTTCCACCAGTTATGTTTGGGGCTTTTAGAGCGCCTTTATTTCACGGAGTGCTTTAGCCTCAAATTGGGTGGAGTTAAAGCAAAAGGATTGGTTTACCCAATAAGGGTTTTTGCCTAACATATAATAGGCAAAAATTCTGCTTGAACCTGATTATAGGCTTTCCTGATCATCAGCAGGTTGATGTAGTTTTCAGCAGGGATTCCTGAAAGATGACCCCTGTTAAGCACTGACCATATAACTGCCACATGCATAAAGAGTTCCTGTTCTGAAGAGTTTAGACTGAGACACAGAAGACTACTGCTATTGGGAGACTTGGAGGAGAAAGTTAGTTTAGATTAGCACAGACAAAAATCTCACCCAAGAAATCTGACTCTTGCCTAATATGATTCAGCAGAGTTTCTTCCCATCCAGAAGTGTAAGTAAGGAAAGCTATGACGTTGAGAGGAGCTGTATTACACATAGAGATGTGGAGGACATTGCTGCATTGCAGAAAAAGAGAGAGACTGAATCAGAGACCTGACATCCTATAAGAGGACAAGGTGGTGCCTTTTGTCTCGCTTATTTAAAAAGTTCTCAGACTTTCAAAGGGACCCAGCTATATAGAATGAGTTAATGGGAAATGCAAGTTGAATGTCTGCACTCTTAAGACCTCTCTATGACTTAACTGTGATATTCATGAGGAAGTTGACTTGGGTATACCAGACGGCCATTGCAGAATCTATATGGTGTCTGTTACAACCATAATTCTACCTCTCTGGTGGGAGACATGTAAAGCTTAACTGAGTAGGTAGACTGGATGATTTTGGTGTCCAGGGGAAGAGGCTGCATTTGTGTTAATATTTGCAATTATACAGCTCATCAGATCCAGTGATGCTTACTGAAAGTGTTTGTGGATGGATAGATTGCATCAACGGTGTGGGGGTATCCCCCCTTCCCTACAGTATTGGGGAGATCACCTGAAGTAAGGACTAAAGTGACCAGATTAATTCTTAAGTAGTTTAATAATAATTCTGCATAAATAGAAGTACTCAAGCAGAAATCATGAAGTAGACCGGTTCTTCCTCTCAGTACTTTCTGGGGTTTAAGATCGTGTCTGTGACAGTACTGGGGAAAAGCAGCAGATCCAGCACTCTGGTCACAGTAATTTCAGATAAATGCCACAGGCACAGTTACATATGGGAACTGTGCCAATTTTGATAGGCTGGAGAGACTCAAAGGCTATCACTTCATTAACTCAGAAGGCATGAAGGCATAGGAAGAAAATGAAGGGAGGAGAGAGAAAGTGAAAGAACTGTGGGCCAGTAGAGCCTAGGCCACAAGAAGTCTCTCCCTTGCTGGGCTCGGGAGCCTTAGAGCCCCAGGATACCGTTAAAGGTGTTGCACAATCTGTAAAAGTGGTAGGAACAAACTTTTAAAATAAATCACTGGATGTTTTACCTGAAGAAAGTCTCTGCATAGTTTGTCTGGAAAGAGGCAGGAATGGAGCACGCCCCTGCCACAGTGTCCCAGATATTGACAGGATCGGAAGCAGCAACTGTCTCCTTAGTGGACTAGAAGATAAAGAGTTTGATTAAAATTCAAATGTTTAACAACTCTTCATAGACTTCTACAGACCAATTATCATTGCTAACCTTTCAGCTGTGCTAAAAGACCTGATCTTGATGGTTGTATTAAACGGTCTAATGTAGCTGCATTCTGGAAAGTAGATTGCTGATTTGCTCATCTTAACAGTGAAGAGGCTGGTTTGAGGAGCTAGCTTGTACCCATGCTTTTATAAAAGCCTTGGTTCTGAGACAAACTACTTTTAGGCAGAATTACCAAGAAATTAGTAAGTGAGCAGAATTTCATTAATATATTTTTCTGTACCTCTGGACAGGTTCACCAGACTTTGAAAACCACAGATATCTTTGCAATAGTATCAGTTGACAGTCCTGCAGGCAGGAAAGGTAGATAAACCAAAAATTAGTGGAATGAAACTCTCAGTTTCTCATTTAAAAAAAAATAATGCAAGAGTATACTACTTTAAATCCAGTTGAGGCAGAACAGGAATGGGAATTTGAGAGAAGGGCCAGAGCCTTTTGCCTTAATTCTGGTCCAGTTTGACTGACGCTTTTGTCATGTGATCTGAGAAGCAAATGGCCCAGCAGTACCAGACTGAGATATCCGAAACTTTAGAAAAATCCTCTCCATATTAGATTACCTAGTCATGGTAGCTGCAATAGCAAACCATGCTTAAGGACAGTTTTCAAACATGGCATTTACATCTGCTCATTTTCACCCCATTACTAGACTAGATGAACTCTCGAGGTCCCTTCCAGTGCACTTTTAGAAACCGGAAACAATTAGCTTTTGAGTTTTTGAACTGCTCATTTCATCTTAATAAGATATACACCTTTACCCGGATATAACGTGGTAAAGCAGCGCTCCGGGGGAGCGGGGCTGCGCACTCAAGTGGATCAAAGCAAGTTCGATATAACGCGGTTTCACCTATAATGCAGTAAGATATTTTTTTTTTGGCTCCCGAGGACAGCGTTATATCGGGGTAGAGGTGTATATGGCATATTGAAACTGAAAGCAAGCGGACAGTGTGAAATAGAATAGAAGCATAAAAATGCAGTGGATATGATTGCTGGCACTACTCGTTTCATACTTAATAAAAACCTGTATATTAAAAAAATGTATTTGAAGCTGCCACAGAATTTCCACCAGTTTGCCATAGAATCTAGGGACCTCGCAACAGAATTTAGATCCAGTTTGTCACAAGGTACAGAAGGGCCTTAACCACGAGTCAGGCCTCAGAACTGTAATTCGTTGGGGCACCAAAAGGCAACTATGGAAATGCAATACCATCATTCAGTGTTGTGGCATACTAAAATGCATGTGAGGGCATTTTGATTAGTTTTTATATGTCTGACTGTTTCCTGCCTGGTTTCCCCTTGGTTTTCTTCCTAGTCTTGAAGCACAATTAACTGAACAAAAAACTGAATGAAGGTTATATTCCTAAATTTTAGCCCTTTCCCGTGGCTCTTCTCTCAAGCATTTGAGGACAAGAATGATGATCAGTTTGTGGCAGGGAGTTTTCTTTTGAAAAACCCTTTATTTTGAGCTGTGGAGTTTTTTGCATAGTCCTATTTGTAAATTATACTTTTTATTGTGTTTGTGTATGTGCTCAGAACTTAGGATGGTCTCATTCTTAAAAAACTCTAAAGAAATGGTTATAATTTAGAAACAATACAAAAATGCAAACAATACTGAAATACTTGTTTTGACTTCAGTTTCTAGGGGTTTTGTTTTAGCTACTTGTGTAAATTTAAACCCCAAGATGATACAGTAAATTATTGCAGGTTCATGGGAACTGTTTTATTTTTTTCCCTGTGTCTTTAGCGCTTTCCGAACTGCCCTTTGGGGGGAGATGTGCAAGACACTGCTTAAAGATAGCTGTTAATTTAAAGAAACAAGAACTTTGCTGTGTTTACAAGTTTATTTTTAATAAAACCTAACTGAAAAGGTCTTCAAATGCAGAAAATTGTTATCCTGAAAAAGTTTTCCCCCGTTCCTCACTCACCTGCCGCTACTCAGGTTCAGGTTTGTGCAGTTTCTTTCTTGCACATATTGAAATTACAAACACATTCCTAATACTGCTTTAAACTCCATTTTCTGATGTACTTGTTCAGGGTGCTGGTCTGTCTTGCAGAAGCTCTGAACTTGGGTCTCACGGTTTATAAAACAAACTCTGAATCTTTCAGTTTACCTTTAAAATGTGTCGTCTTAAAATTGCAAATACATGCATTCAAATAATGTAACATCTTTAGTAGTTTTGTATTTATTTTTCAAGCATTTTAATTTACCTTTTACCATTCACTAAGTTTCTGAATAAGTGTAGTATTAACATTTTTTAACTTTAGGCTTTGTCTGCATGGAAAGTTGTACCAGTTTAACTTTAACTATATCAGTTTAAAAACAGATTTAAGGCTGTGCAAACCCCTGTAAGGACTCCACTCGCTGAGCCCCAACCAAAAGAAATGGTCTTGGTGGCCTTCTCTACCAAGAACAGTTCAAACTTTAAGTTTTAGACGTATTCTAGTTTTGGCTTGCTCTTTGAAATTTAAAGTTAAATACACTTTTTAAATATGGAATAGGCTACAAGGGCACAGCAGCAATGTCAGTATGCACTAAAAACTGTTGACTTCAGAATGACACACAGTGCTCTTTGCAGTAGAGATTTCATCATTATGGTTTGCTTCTCTCTGTTTAATGGGCTACTTACGGATCTATGTTTTGTTCTTTTCCTTAGATATTAGGATTAAAGAAGAGGAGCCTGATCCAGAAGAGTGGCAGCTCAGTGGCGATTCTACACTAAATACCAATGATCTATCACATTTGAGAGTACAGGTGGTAGATGAGGAAGGGGACCAAACACATCAAGAAGGAAAAAGATTGCGACGAGTTGCTTGCACCTGTCCCAACTGTAAAGAAGGTGGTGGGAGGTATGCTACTATTTAGGGTCCATATACTTATTATGCGGAAAACAAATAATGAGAAACTCAAAAGAAACTCAATTATGAACTTCTTGACTGTAGCTATTGGAGATCTTCGGGCACTGAGCTTATGCAGTAAAACATCTCCAGCTCTTATTTTGTGTTTATGGGGAAGGGTCAGAATCTGCAGTCTAGTGAGTCAAGTTTTACTCCATGCTTGTTGAATTGTCCTACTGAAATGAATGGGACTATTCAACATGAGTATAGGTTGGCAGAACAAGGCCCTAAATAATATGAAAGTGTTGAATTTCTATATATGCAGATCTGAGATTGACTTCCTACCATATCTCAATTTTCAAGGATTTGATTAAGTCCTGTGTTTGAGTATTTCATGATTGATTAAACAAAGGCTTTGTCTCCTATAGTGAAGGGAATGGTATGAAAACCTGAGACAGCCTGGATTTTTTTCTACTTGTAACATTTTTCCTCTGTAGAGACCTATTGTGTTTTGACATATTTTCAGTAAAGGATTTTGTTATGGGCGTCAGAAACTGGAGAAGGAGGGAAGAAATTGTTGCCTTTCTGAAATGGAAATATCTGGGATAGCATTATTGTATTTGAAACTATTGTATATTGGAAAATAGCCTTTGTACTAGAATTTTCATGTCCATTTTGGCAACCTTATGTAGGCAACCATTTTAAATGGGCACCTAGTTTATTTGAAAATCAAATATAAACTTTTTGATTCTGTTTTGAGGACGTATTGACTTCCTAAGGTTCTACAAACCTGTTACTGTCTGAGGATTGTGAGAGGCTAGCTAAGTCTGGCTGCCCCTGTTGCTTCCACGTCTTCTCTGTTGGTTTGTTGATGTGCTTGCAAGGAAAGTACCTAAAACAGACAGCTAATGTATTTCCTGGCAAAATGATACAGTAGAACTTAATTATGGGCAGAGCTGTTAGCAGTGTTTATAGTTAAAGTAGCTTCAACACTTTGTATTCTAAAACCCTATTTTCAGTTGCTTATAACTTTGCTGGACTCTAACCATTTGGGCTGAAGTTTTCTATGCCTGGTGTCTGCCTCAGGCTGACCTTTTTTTGTTTTTGTTTTTGTTTTGTTTCAGTAAAACTGGTTCAGTAGTTTCTGATAACATAGTTAAGTTAAAATATGTTGATTTGCCCACCTTAAACTTATATCTGTTTCACTGAGAAACTTTAGCACCTCCATGCTTTGGAGTTGGGACTTGAAATTTGGCAAGGGGGTTGCCTTGTTGCCAGTGATGTGCCTTTTTGAGTCTACCCCCCCCCCCCCCCCCCCCCCCCCCCCCCCGAAAATCTCAGATTTGGACAAATAAGCTTATGAAAAATCAGAATTAGCACATGCTCAGTAAAGGTTTGCTATAGGCTGGCAGCTAACTTCTCTGAAGGTTTCTTCTGCAATGGTCATGCTCCTGTATGCCAACTAGATATTGCATGCACCATCCTCACAATGTGACTGAGCTTGCTTCATCTGAGTGCAGCAGGGGCTAAGAAGGACTTTCCCTGCAAATGTTCCTCCCAGTGGTAGGTTGCTCTGGCATCAGGCATCAAAACTGAGAGCAGGAATACCATCTCTCCTGTGCTTTTAGTGTTCCTTCTGCAATCTGCTGGTGCCCAGTCAGCATGGAAAAAGTAGCCTGGCTGGACTTTAGAGGGTGGTAGGTGGGAGAGTCCGAGACAGGAGCTCAGGGAGAGGTGAGAATAAACAGAGTGGTACTGGTTTGGGGGTAGGGAAAGGGGAAGACTGAGACAAGGGGGAGGAAAGGGTAGGTAAGAGGAACACTGGGACAGTAACCAGGGGTGTGAGGAGGACTGGTTTGAGGGTGGAGCTGTCTAACCAATAGAGTGCACTCTCCTCCAGAGCCTGGAGTTACACGCAGGATTTTTGAGTTTCAGTAGTTGTATGCTGTCTAGTAAATAACTGCATATCTACTGACAAAATGTATGTCTGTTCCACCTCTAATGACTCGTGACCATTTAAAACAGCCTACTACTGCTACCAATTCCTCAGTTAGCTCCAGTGGTCGAGGTCTGTACTGATGGTCTAAAGTCCCAACCTTGCTGATGACTCATAGGGGGCCAGCATAGTTCTACATCGGGGTGGCCAATCTGTGGCTCCAGAGCCACATGCAGCTCTTCAGAAGTTAATACGTGTCTCCTTGTATAGGCACCGACTCCGGGGCTGGAGCTACAGGCGCCAACTTTCCAATGTGCCAAGGGGTGCTCACTGCTCAACCCCTGGCTCTGCCACAGGCCCTGCCCCCGCTCCTCCCCCTCCCCCCACGAAACGGCTGATCAGGAGGCTCTGGGAGCGGGGAGTGGAGCTGATGGGGGGGGGCTGCTGACGTATTACTGTGGCTCTTTGGCAATATACATTGGTAAATTCTGGCTCCTTCTCAGGCTCAGGTTGGCCACCCCTGTTCTACATTATGGAGTTTGCTTTTGTAAAAACTTAGGAAAATACATTTTTAAAAGAATGTTAGCGTTGCAAAGTCAAGTGCTCAAAAGTTAGAAATGCCAGAATTAAGGTTGTCTGTGCAACCTTAATTTGGCCCCTTATGTGCATGCATTATCATACAGTGTTAATAATAAAAATAAATAAATACAAGTGTTCAATACATGATCACATACTATTTTTTCCACAGGACCCTTGCCTTATTCAGAGCATAGGATGGCCTATGCTCAGGGAATTAATTGGGTTTGTGTAGTGAATGGTGTTATTGTCTGTGGGACCCCTGCTTCATTAGTGGTAGAAGTTGGAAGGCGCCTATTGAATGAGAAAAGATGGTGTCATGGTTAAGGCAATTGAATGCTTTAGAATTGGATTCTGTCCCTGTCTCTGCCACAAAGTTCCTCTGTGATGCTGGGCAAGCCACTAAAACCAAACTTTTCACAGGTAGCCACTAATTGTCTCTTCCCAATTTGAGACATCTGAGGCCTAATTTTCACAAGTGTGGAGCACTCAAACTCACAACTGCAACTGAAGTCAATTGGAGCTGTGCTTTGAACTTATAAAGTATTCTGAAAAATAAGGTCTTTGGTATCTCAAGCTAGGCATTCATAATCGGTGAATGCTTGACAATTTTGGCTTTAATCTCCCTATCTGTACAATGGGGACATTTAATATCAATTTACTTGTTTGAAGAGCTCAGATAATACAGTGATGAATGTGCATGATGAGCAAAGCCCATTAGGAATTTAATAATTCTATATTTAATATAGGTTTTAAATGGTTATGCACTAAATAAGGTGTGGAATCATACCTTGAATGGTACATATGTAGAAAAAGTATTGAATAGCTTCCCATTCAGTGAATGCTGTCCTTCCTCTACACTGAATAAGACAGGTATCCTGTGGAAAAGGTAGACTGTGACTCTGTAGTTACAGTCTGTATCATAACCCAAATTCTTGTGCATATTTGTCAAGGTTGTATAGGCAACCTTAACGTTGGCATTTTCTACCTTAGGTACTTATCTGGTCCCCATCACATAGTATCCAATTGTCTCACAATCTTTATTGTATTTAATGAAGCACTATTTATCCCCATTTCAAATCAATTTCATTGAAATCAAATAGGAGTTATATGCCTAAATACCTGTGAGGCTCTGGGCCTATGTGACTTACCATGGGTCACACAAGATGTTTGGCACAGCAGAAATTGAACCCATGTTTTCCACAGTCCAGGTTAGTGCTCTAACCACTGGACCATCCTTCCTCATATGCTTCTGAGTGTTTGACTTTGCAGCCTTAACATTCTTCTAATGAAATCTTTTTGAATGTAATTGTATGTCTTACACAGACACTCTCCCAAAATGTTTTAGTGTTAATTACAAGATAGGGAGATAGAATGTGGCATATGTTGCTGAACAGTGGTGTAAAGATAAAGTATACAAAACATATCAAACTATTGGATTGTAAGATCAGTAAGTAGTGTGGAAGGCATAAGCAAGGGATGAACATGTCTTCTGATTATATGAAATAAGGATAATGATCAGAGATGGCAAGAGCTTTCAGAGAATACTTCCACCTGCCATGACAATACTCGGGGTAGGGTGGGGAGGAGGAGGAGGAATACATACAAAAGGCAAGTGCTAGACACTCAGCGAACTAGCACTTAGGGGAGAAAAGAGAGAGAGACTGGAACAAGTAAAGAATAAGGGGTTTTCAAAACAAAGACGGTCTTGAACTGGATCCTGAAATGAAGGTGGATCCATTGAGTTGAGGATTGGGGGAGCATGGTCATATTAAAAGGTGACGAGGAATAGATTAGGTCTCTTTCTTGGAGTCAGGCTACTCTCAGGTGATGGATGAGTCAATATGGAATTGTTGCAGGCAGCATAAGTTACATACACCATGAGCTGCTGTGGTTCCCAGCCATCTTCAGGATCTGGGCAATTAATTTTTTTTTCTTTTCTAAAGTTAGGTTTCTAAATCCCTTTGGAATCAGCTGAATACTCGGCTCTATTGAAAATTGGTCTGTTTATTTGCGTGACTTAATACAGGTTTAGAAGCCTAACTTTAGACACTTTAAAAAAAATCTTAACCCGCAGAGATGCAGGAGAAGGTGGTGAGCTAAGGATATATCTACACAGCACCATTACCCCATGGCAGCAAGTCTCAGAGCCTGGGTTAACTGACGCGGGCTCATGGGACTTCACGCTGCAGGGCTAAAAATAGCAGTGTAGATGTTCTGGCTCAGACTGGAACCCAGGCTCTGAAACCCTGCACAGGAGGTGCTGGAGTCTGAGCCTGGACTCCAGCCTGAACCTGAACATCTGCCCTGATATTTTTAGCCCCTCATTGTGAACCCAAGTCAGGTGACCTGCACCTTTAGACTTGCTGCTGCCAGTCTTTTTTTTGCTGTGTAGACATATCCTAGCAGCCAAAGTTGAAACTAAAGTTAGGGGCAAATGGAAGGACTCAGTTGAGATTTGAAGTAGAAGAGAGAGATGTTTGAGATGTTCCTGTTCGCCAGAAAAACTACATTTCACTTTGGATATTTAATTGAAAAATGAAGATGAAGCAAGAAGTGTTCTTGGTCAAGACTGGTGGAGATGGAAGAGTCAATTCTGTCAAAAGATATGTACAACCGGGTATCATAAGCATAAAAGTTAGAAGTAAGTTGATCTAAGAGGGACAAGGAAGAAAAAAAGTACAAGGCAGAGAACCTAACTTTGTATGATGCTGTAAGGGTTAGAGGTGTCACCAGCAAGAGTGATTTGATGGATGGGAGTAGACATGTGACTGGGAACCAAATAGGCCCATATGGCTATGGAATTGATTCAGGAACATTGTTATGCCATTTTCTCTTTGATTGAATTGCTGCAATGCATTATATTCTGAGCCCTGTGTATTCATAGTTTTACAACTATTGGATTTCTTGTGGTGTCAAGCCACTTTTACAGAATTGTTCTCTGGAATTGAAGCATTCATTTAAAAAAACGGAAGGGGAGAAGGGGGTGCAATTCTGCCTTCATTTTTGTGAGGAAATCTTGAAAACACTAACAAAGTGCAAAACAATTCCGTTCCCCCCTCCTCCCCCCCCAAAGTCACGGACAGCCTGAAATGATAACTTAGGTATAGATAGATTGATCCATTCATCTCATCTGGCTTTAAGTCTGACAATTTAAATGTCAAAATCATTAACCATTTCACTTCTGCTCATTTTAGCAGAAAACATTCAGCTAATTTCTTTATTTTACAATCTGAAATAGCATTCTGTGCCTTCCTAAGGTGCCAAAAGCCCTGTCTGTCCCCTTCCCAGCTGCCAAAATCTCCAGCTTCCCCTTTCACAACTTCAACAGTGCAGTTGTTCTTTGCGAATACACAAGTCTTTGCAATATTAAAATCCTGAAAATATGGGGATTATAAATTAAATGGACTTTCTGCTATCTATTTTGATATTGGGCTACACGAATGATTGTATTTTTCAATTTCATATTTCTTTAAAAGCCTGCACTTTGTCATTTCAATGAAGTTACTGCTGAATTTTCAGTCTACTGCATTAAAGTGCTGCAGAATCCAGGAACTGTGCTGCAGAATTTAGGTCCAGCTTCCTGTGGAGTACACGGGGCTTTCATTATATGTGTAGTTACTCTGAAAATCCACTCAGATTAACATACAGAACTATTTGGATACATTTTTCCAAATGGTACAAAATATCTATTGTTTAGGAGAAATAACTTAGATTTGCTGAATAATTTTAGTATTTGTTTTTTTTAAACAGAGGCTCTAATTTGGGAAAAAAGAAACAACACATCTGTCACATCCCAGGGTGTGGGAAAGTTTATGGGAAGACTTCACATTTGAGAGCTCATCTCCGCTGGCATTCTGGAGAGCGCCCATTTGTTTGTACTTGGATGTTCTGTGGTAAAAGGTTCACTCGCAGTGATGAGTTACAGCGACACAGAAGAACACATACAGGTTATCAGTGTTTGATTTTGGCAGATTTGATTGGAGGAATGTGAATGATAAAAATTTCTTAAAATCGGCCAAATTTTCGCCTCTAATTATTCTTCCACTGACTTCATGAAAGTTGTGCTAGTGTATCTGAGAGCAAAGTTGGTCTGTGATCTGTTTATTTTGTAATAATAATGAGATGTCCCACTCCCCATATTAAATACCAAATATTTAATTTTGAAATCTGTTGTTTCTATTAAAAATAACTTTTTTCTACAATATCTAATACATCATGAAGTGGTAGGGGCTTCAGAACTCTAGAGCTTAAAGGGACACTGAGAACGTAAAAATCACAGTACCATTTGAAAATTGTGCACATACTATTGTTACAAGTGACCCATGGATTACGATAACTGAAAGCAATTTAAAAAAATCTATTTTTAAAATAGCTTATTTTATGCTTTTGATAGTTTTCTGTATAATTAATGTACCTACTTGTCATGTGCATCAGTCTCAAGCCCCACTCTGGGGGAACTCATCTGCACTCTGTTCTCCATACCTGGCAAGAGGTTACAGCAGCATTGAAACTGAAGAGGCAGCAAATGGGTCCAAGCATGTTGGTTGATGTCAAAAAACCCTTTGTAACCTCACCAAAGGAACAGAAAAATGCTTTAAAAAAAATCTTTTTAAAGTGTGTGGAGGAGAAGGGTGTCTTTGTGTGTGAAAGAGAGAAAACCATGTCCTTTTAACAAAAAATAAGTTGACAGTGTCCCACTAGTGCCTCTTCCTCATCAACATGATATATGGTTTATTGTTCATAAAAATAATTTCTCTTTGTTATCTTGTGTGACAGGAGAGAAGAAGTTTGTCTGTCCGGAATGTTCAAAACGCTTTATGAGGAGTGACCACCTTGCCAAACACATTAAAACACATCAGAATAAAAAAGGTATTCACTCTAGCAGTACAGTGTTGGCATCAGTAGAAGCAACACCTGATGATACTTTGATTACTGCAGGAGGAACAACACTTATCCTTGCAAATATTCAACAAGGTTCTGTTTCGGGAATAGGGACTGTTAATACATCTGGCACCAGCAATCAAGATATTCTTACCAACACTGAAATACCTTTACAGCTTGTCACAGTTTCTGGAAATGAGACAATGGAATAAATATTACACAAGATACCTATTAATTGTGGTTATTTTTATACAGTAGTGAGAAAAATATTGTTCCTAAGTTCTTAGATATCTTTTTATTGATGTGCAAAAATTTTTGGATTGACAGTAACTTGGTTATACATGACACTGAAATGCCTTACTTTGTATGATATTCCATAGTATATTAAAATGGTAAAATTGCATGGGTTTTGTAGGTACTTTTGGAATCTAGAAGAGATGAAATTTTACCAAGTTATATTAAAAAATGAATTTAATGATGGGAATGGTAGTCTAACCAAATGCATCAATCCTGTGTGGTTTAGTGTAAAAATGAGAACATGTTGGTATTTATCTATTGTAAGATAAAAAGAAGTTGATGGGTGAAAAGAAATCATGTTATGATAAAAGAAATTTTGTAATTTTCTTGATGACTGGAATTTTTATTATGCATAACTGACAAATCAAGTTTCCAAGCAAATGTTACATAGTGTAGGCTTTACTTAGCTCATCAGCTTGTCATTTTGAAGCTAATTATTTTAATTAGGTTAACTATGTACAATATTTTAAGCATTACTCTTGTAAGATTTTGAAAACTACATTTTAACATGGAACTCTAGGGATAGTCACCTTTTAAATCCTGTTGAAAAGCCATGTTTAAGATTTAATTTGCCAAAATGATGTCTTGTTAATATTCTTTCAATAACCAAGTTGGGCAATATAACCAATGTTTAAAAAAAAAAAAAAGTTTAAAATGTTTAAAAAAATGTATAGGTTGAGGCATTTGGGTGGTAAGGCAAATGTTATAGTGAAATATATCCCTTTCCTTGAACACTGGAGGACCAAAAATTAGGTGTATTGCGTCTCAGCAGTGATTTTTATCAAATCTTGTTTCCAAAAACATCTGTCTGCCAGGGCCTTAAAAGCCATCATGTAATTTACCAGTAAAAATATAACATATGCAAATATAACAGAAAATCACTTCCATAGTGACAATACTCCCAACCATATGGATATTAGTCATAGTGAACTAGGGGTTTTACAAGGTTTTTTTTAATTTGTTGTTTAGCTTTTGGTTAGTCAATCTGCATTTAAATATCAACCATCTTTCCTTTTTCGCTTCTTCCCTTAAATTGTATGTATCCAGTACATTTAACTGATAAACATATATGTTTTTTATTATGCTGAATTTTCTTTTTATTTTTAATTACTGTTTATATTTTCAATTATAGAAAAATGTACAAAATAAAGTTACTTAGCCAGTCTGTAAGTTCTATACCATTTTCCAAAAATGTACAACAATAATTACAGCAGTTCACCTATTTACAAACATTTGGAAATCTGTTCATTATCCTTAAAACCACCTCAAATTTAAAGGCTACCTTATTGTACGTTTAAAGTGTATTATAACAGTGTGGTAGTTAATAAAACACTATTTTTTTTCTTTTGACTTGGCGTTTACTGCATTCCTTTGTGCTATGTAACAAGGTGTGATATGCTAACACATGTTTAATAGCTCCAGTTTTTCTTCAACAAACTTCATAATGAAAATAGTTGTATTTTTTTCTGACCTTGCTCTGATATAGTTGACCCTTTAAATTCCTGTTGCGCAAGGGAAGGGTCAGCAATGGAAAGAGGATGTGACAATGGCCTCGGTGAAGGAGGAGAGGAGTTGCAGAAGAATACTGAGCTTATGAGTTCTGAGTAACAGAGAGGATGGTGTTTTCAGCTGCAGCAAGGAGGTGGAGGGCTCATAGGAAAGAGCAGTTTTTTAACTATGTTGTGAGAGTTGGTGGCAGGACATGCAGGAAGATGTCTCAATCAGCAGTGCATGACTAGACTGGGGAGAGGTTGGGGTGCCAAGATAGATTTGGGATGCTGATCCGGGGGAGAGTGTAGAAGAAGAGATGGATAGAAGAGTGAGACCCACAGAGCGTGGGAGATGTTAGGTGGTAGAGATACCGAAAAAGGCGGTGGAGAAGGTAATAGAGTATTGAGTCCAGGAACCCAACAGAAGGGATGGGGTTCAGCACAAGAATGGTGGTGTCAAATGTAGCAGAAAAATCAGAGGATGATCATGAAGAATCCTTGGATTTGGCCAGGAATAGGTCATTTGTGACTTTTTAAGGCAGCTTTGGTGGAGTAAAGTTGGGCAAAAGTCAAAGTGCTGTGAGTGACAGGAACAGCCCAAGTGTTTAATTGGGTCGCCCTTAAGAGAGTTCAGGAGCCAGCCCTTGTTTTCTCAGCTGAATGAATTGCAGCTCAATACTGAAAAGTGTTCTTAAAAATGATGTTTTGGGTTACTTTGTCTGTGACTTGCACATCAAATCTGTTTTAGTTTACAAGTAAAAAGATGTTCTCTGTCTGGCCTGTAAAGTTAACTTGGAATCTACAGGTCATTCTGGATTCTTTCTACCTTGCACTTCAACAGCAATAAAGATTCTGCAGTTGGGGCGTAATTAATATTAATCTGTTGATGATGCTTGAGTCAGAACAGAATCTAGTTCTCTCCAATAGCTGTATTGGCTTTGTAACAAAAATGTATTTTAATTATTGCATACATGGAACAGATCTGCTGAGTAAGAAGGTGCCATATTTACATAACCATTTTTCAGAGCAGAACTGCACATTAAAATGTGACTTTCTAGTCTATAATTAGAACAAACATCTTTGAGGAACTATTCATGTGTCCTTTCTGTTCTCCTAAAAAAGAAGTAAATTGAACCCAAAGAAGTATGATCAGTGATGATGCAGGTCATAGTAAATCTTTGTAGAAGGTTCTTCAGTATGTTTGTATGACAGCCAGTCAAAGTGCATGATATCAGAATTTTCAAAAGCTCATTTTTATGAGTGGGGGGAAGGGGGACTTTTCCTGTCAAACAATATTGATATTAATATCATAGTTTGCACTGTAATTTTGCTTTTACCATTGTTAATGCTTCCTGATCGCCCAAACCTGAAGAGGGATCAGTTCATTTGTGCGCTCAGGATGGCGGTAGAATGTTTCTGGCAGATGAAAGGAGGATTGTGAATCAGAAGACATCTAAATGGCTGTTCAGTGACTAATTCCTGCTGTATTTCACGTAATGTAAAATGAAAACTTCTATGAACAATACAGTAAAGAGTTATGCACAGCCAAGCTCTTTTATCTGAGGCTGTATTTATATTCTCTAAAGACGCCATCTGTGCAGGATTCTCATTCTTGGGCCCAGTGTCTCCACTGCAAATCATGCAGGAATCTCCCCTAGCTTGTAAGATTTTTGGCTCTGATACATCCGTAGCCCTGTGCGAGGGGTTCTGCCTTTTGGAGTATGCACTATTAAATCCCAAGAAAATTCTAGGTACTCTTTTTCAGACTGCAGTCAGCACAGGCATTTCCCATAGAAGCTGACTTGTGTAGTTTTGGTTCTATCTGGCTTAGCAGCTAAAGGGGTTGGGGTTTTACTTTCCAATTTCTAACCAGTGTTCTAGTTCACTGAGCCTGGTAACCTGGCTTTTTTCAGCACATACTTTTTTATGTTTTCTTCTGTTTCCTCTGCAGATCCACTTGAGGTGTCATCACCATAGCCAAAGATTGCCTGGATATGACTTGAGCTCCCAGCAGAAACCCATTGGGAGACTGTTCATGTATCATTATTTGCAGAACTGGATTAAAATTTTCCATCAAAACTACTTTTTTTGGTGGAAAATTGGGGTTTCAGCTAAACAAGAATTTTTATCTAAATTTTTCAGTGAAAATTTCAATATTTCATTGAAAAACTGAAATATGTTGACCAACAATTAAAATATTTTGATTCAAAATAGCACTCCCATTCCCCTCCATGGACAGTGCTCTCTGGCTAGATTCCCATGATGCACCATGGCCAGGGACTCCAATGGTGCACCCCCTCTACTCACCAAGAGTGGAGAAATTGGTGCATCATAGGAAATGTGGTTTGGTCAGAGAGGCAGGCCCACAGAGAAGAATGGGAGCATAATGCACTAGAACTACAACTTCTAAGAAGCACTGCAGCATGAGTTTGAATCAAAATATTTTGGGGGTTGGCCAAAACATTTAGCCAGGAAGTCAACATTTTCTGGAGAGAAGAAGAATCCCTGTTTTCTGACCAGGTCTAATTATTTGGGATCCTGGCAGAAAGGACTGTTGACAGACCTGTGTCCACTGAAGACTGGATCTCCAGACTCCTTCGATACTATATTAGGCCTCTCTGAGGCTACGTCTTCACTACGGGGGGGGGGGGAGGTCGATTTAAGATACGCAAATTCAGCTACGCGAATAGTGTAGCTGAATTCGACGTATCGCAGCCGACTTACCCCGCTGTAAGGACGGTGGCAAAATCGACCTCCCCGGCTTCCCGTCGACGGCGCTTACTCCCACGTCCGCTGGTGGAGTAAGAGCGTCGATTTGGGGATCGATTGTCGCGTCCCGACGAGACGCGATAATTCGATCCCCGAGAGGTCGATTTCTACCCGCCGATTCAGGTGGGTAGTGTAGACCTAGCCTTAGAAGGTACTGTGAGGATCAGTATCACAGTACTGGGGACATTTGTATCTTGTGGACAATTTTAGTATCTGAAAACTTCACATCTTGTAGCTGAAAACTTTGGTATTTTGATATATCAACACCTTGAGGCTGCACACAGGTGGCTCTGAACCCTGTCCGCCTCATCACCATAGCCAGTGTCTGAGTGACGGAGTATTTTTAGTGTCTTGGCACCTGACCACAGAGAGACCATAAAGTCCTGTAATATACAAGTCCTTCTGGACACTTGCATTCACAACATGTCAATGTTCTGCTAAAGTGGGCCCACTTGCCTACTACCACAGAATGGCGTTAAAAACCCTTTGCCCCTCAAGATGTGTTGCTGGGACCAGTGTAGGATGCAGGAACAGGGAAGCATGATGATGATGTCATGCCTGCTGAGAGATGGGAAGGCAACAGAAGGCCTTCTGGCATATTGGGCTGTATTAGTAGGAGCATTGCCAGCAGATCGAGGGAAGTGATTATTCCCCTCTATTCGACACTGGTGAGGCCACACTTGGAGCATTGCGTCCAGTTTTGGTCCCCCAACTACAGAAGGGATGTGGACAAATTGGAGAGAATCCAGTGGAGGGCAACAAAACTGATTAGGGAGCTGAGGCACATGACTTACAAGGAGAGGCTGAGGGAACTGGGGTTATTTAGTCTGCAGAAGAGAAGAATGAGGGGGGATTTGATAGCAGCCTTCAACTACCTGAAGGGGGATCCAAAGAGGATGGAGCTAGGCTGTTCTCAGTGGTGGCAAATGACAGAACAAGAAGCAATGGTCTCAAGTTGCAGTGGGGGAGGTCTAGGTTGGATATTAGGAAACACTATTTCACTAGGAGGGTGGTGAAGCACTGGAATGGGTTCCCTAGGAAGATGGTGGAATCTCCATCCTTAGAGGTTTTTAAGGCCCAGCTTGACAAAGCCTTGGCTGGGGTGATTTAGTTGGTGTGATCCTGCTTTGAGCAGGGGATTAGACTAGATGACCTCCTGAGGTCTCTTCCAACCCTAATATTTTACGATTCTATGAATAGGAAAAAGTGCACAAAACCTTCCTTCTGCTCGAAAGCAGCTTTTCTTCCTCCACAGCATGACTGGGTGGTGGTGGTCCAGGTATGCAAGCTTTTTTTTATTTTCTCTGTCATCCCAGAATCAATCATCTTTAGATTCATTTTGCCACCTCTACTTACTAGTACTCATCTGTATCTCGCTGTACTTTAAAGTAATTTCTGGCTCTTAGGACACTTGCCAAATATTGGACACCTCCCATGGAGGGAAATGGCAAGATTATTTTTGTTTTGCCTCTTCAACTGGCATCACTACAGTATTCTCCTAAATAGTGTGGCAGTAGGCCTATCCTACCTGCACAAACTTGCAGTGCATCTGTTCTTCAGTTGGACTGTTTATTGAATAAATAACATCACTTTGAGGTCTGATGCACAGTCCTTATCAAGCTGAGTGTTGCAGGCCCTAGTTAGCCTGAGTCTCAACTTGCCCCTGGTGGGCAATTGGTTTGGACACTATAGAAAGCCTGCCTGAGGCTGCCCATCTATGATCCTCTTATCTCAGGTCACCACAGGTTGCTGAAAATGTTATTGAAGAGTGAAATGGATAGTTGTTTGATCCTGCTTACCAGGACTTCCTTTTGTTGCTAATGTGTTGGTACTTACCATAGTATATTATCATATTATGCTTCCTCAACTGAGTTCCCAGTGGAGGATGGAGGTCAAGATTCTTCCATTGTCACTCACAGGGATATAAAGGTGACCTGGATTTCGTATCTGGGCTGCAGTTCAGAATAATTTCTAATTAGTAAGGTTCTCTGAGACTGCCCTTAAAACTGGCTGGGCTGGAGAGCAGGTCTATACTTAAGAGATGAAAAAGACTTATGTGACTAAGCTTCAACACCCAGGGTGCTTATTTAC